GAGTCCTCCGCAAGTGGATGTGGCTGTTGTTGCAGTTGTGTCTACAGCTGGAATAGATAAAGTCCCGGTCACATACATTGTACGACATTCTTTTATACAACATGCAATTTATATTATGTTGAAGTTTGTTCATAGCTCTTTACGGACATAATATGGTGAGTAAAGACATAATCATATGAGAGAAAAAAAGAAGTTTAATTACCGCTATCATAGCTTTCATAGGAAAGCTGAAATCCTCTGTTGCCTACACTTCCATCGCTTGTGAAGTGTAACTGCACCTCATTTGTTCTGCTTGTTTGAATTTGCTGAATGTCACTTCCTGTGTGCCTAAGAAAGGAGATTAATAATTTTTTTAACATATACATGTAAGATATGTTTCAAAACCAAACAGTTAATAGTGGCAGTTAGTATTATAATAATAAATAAGTCCTAGATTATGTACTGCTGCCTGTAGCAGTCCCTGGCTTCCATGCAGTATACTGTAGGCTAATTTTCACACCATGTTTCCTGGCAGCTCTGTCCAGCAGGCCAATGTTGTTGATGCCAAACACATGTAGTTGAGAAATTTGATGTAACAGTTACATGTAACATGTAATTGCCTACATCACACCAGGCTCAAGTTTGTTCCATTCCCTGATGGTGCGAGGGAAGAACGAGGTCCTGTAGAAGTGGCACAAGCCGTTTAGCCATTAAAATTTGATGAATAACTTACAGTGATGAGGATTTTGTGTCTGACTGAGTTGAAAATCATTTTAATCACAATGTATATAGTCTTAATATGTAAAACTTGGGTTTTTATAGTCAAGAGTTGATTGTTAACTAACCAGTTTGCAAAGCCTTCAAATTTGATGAGCTAGATTGATAGAGTAAAGAATTGTAAATGTTGTCAGAATAATAAAGAATTGACTTAATTATGAAGAAGTGAAGTGGTTATTTGCATATCAGTCACAGTTATACATGGTTACATGTATGTAAGACAAGGTTATCTTACCTCCTCCTGATTCCATCCGGTAGGTCAGTTATCTCAAGGTGGTCATAACCATCCTCAAGAAAGAATTCCTCAAATATGATCCTGACAGTATGACCTATTGAATCAAAATCATACACTGTCATACCTTAGCCAGATGATGTTAACATTTACGACTGACACATTGTAAATGTTTCTTATTGATTATTCAAGTAAAACACTAATTTGCTTGAATTAACTCAGTTGATCATATAGACAAGATTGTCATTGAATGACTATATGTTGTCTTTGTGAAAGAAAGCTATTTTAGCGCAATTCCTCATAAATTGTGCCAATGAGCTCTTGATTTAATAGGTTATGCATAATAATGTTAACCTTTACTTTACTTCCAAATGCAATAGATATGAAATTCCTATAAGTAGCAATTACTATCATGAGCATTTTTTTATTGATGCACTGTCTTGATGTTTTTATGAAATGCATACTTTTTTATCAATCATGGTGAATATACATGATTGTGAATAACCTGGAGGAGCTTTGATGGTGTAGATACAGTTTGCATTTTCGGGATACGCGTTCGGATAGCCAGGACTGGTGATGGTGGAGGTATCCAGATTAAGTCCTTCACAGGTAGCTGTAGCAGTAACAGCTGTAACAGTTGTATTTGTGGCTGTAGCTGCTGTTGTAGCTGTGGCTGAAGCCGCTTGAGCTGTGAGGACAGGTAAAATTTACAACATGAAGACTGTGTGTGTGTCCTCTGAAATATTAAACAACAGTGACAATAACTACAATTATTATGATTCCATTACTGTTATGTAAATGAAGTTCAACATCATTTGTCATGCTTCACACTCGATGATTGTTCACTTTGCACATTACATATCAAAGCAGTGGTACATGGTAGTATCATGGGCATGAGGTTAATATTATGAAAAACTGTAATTATGATTATAAATGATTCTCACTTCTAGGAAACTTACTGGAGAAGATGTAACTCAAACTGAACCCTTCCTCATTGGTATCCACATCACTGGTGAAATGCAGCTGAACCTCATTGGTGATGCTCACATACTGTGTTACTGGCTCAAGTCCTGTGTACCTTCAATAAACAGTAATTGTTTTACCAACATTAGAAGCTACATATGATTACAATCAGAAATAATCTATCATGTTATAAAATTATGTGAAGTTAGGATATGTTTTATTTCTGTTATGTCAAAATTTAAAAAAAAAGATGTATTTCAGGACCAGTTGACTAACAGTTTCTGTTACTATGTGCCTGCATTGTACATCAGTCATTGTTACATAAAAGACTGAGGAAATTCTACTGATAGTCGTGCTTGTGTCCTGCAAAATTAGCTGCCTTGATATGGAAAGGTCTTAGATCCTTGTCAGTGCTTGTTTCTGTCACAGCCTGCTTGAACGGTACCCGCTCGACCAGCGGTTCAATCGCACTGGCCTTCCATCGGCCGGGTGAAAACATTTCAACGGCATTATAGAATACTGCTATGAAAATATGAAAACTGCTATAAAAAGAAAACAACTTAATCATAATCACGTACATAATGGCACACCACATGCCCCATTACAGAGAAATAAAACGAACACAGCTACATTTTTTAGCTGCAAACACATTTAAAATTAGCCCCCATACATAAACAACTGGCATCACGCAACTGGATCTAATAAGCAACCCACCCTACGTCTGCTTTAGAAAAACAACACACACACACACACACACACTGCTATTTAAAACAACAGGGTTTTCGCGACCAGTCCAATATGCCGCCTATTTGTGCATCTGAAATATGAAATTGACCACGAAAACGGCTACGGTACAAATAAAAAATATGTGCATCATCTCGGGCATGCATGCAGACGACATATAAAATTGCATGCCGATTAAACAAAGGGAACACTGTTTTCTAGCTGTGAACACGAAAAATGGACTGACCACAATACTCCTGCAGGAGGTATAGCTCCTTCACAGAGTAATGACCATACATGTACATGTACAACAAACGTGACCTTACTGTACAAATGTATGAGAACTACATTGTTGTACACTCACTCCTGTTGTCTACCTTCCTCTCTCAGAACCAATGTGTCGTAGCCTGTTTCCAAATCAAAATGCTGGAAGGTGATGGTAATTGCATGACCAGGAGGTGCTGTAATGATGTATGAACAGTCTGCGTCATCTGGATAGTTTTCAGGGTACCCTGGACTTTGGATTGTTCCCGGGGCAGTGTCGTACCTCCCTCCACAGGTCCCTACAGAACAGATGTGAATTATTCCATGTACCAGTACCTGGTACCTGGAATTTTTCTAGAAAAAAAAATGGAGCAGGCGGGCGAAAAAATAAATAAATAAAAACAGGCCTGGGCATCTATTATGGCCCAAAATGGTACAATAGGAGCCATGAAGTTGATGAAGTCAACACACCAGGCTGGTTCAAAATTTAAATGAATTTTGAACTTTTAATGATACCACTGCATTGAAAGATGGAATAACTGTAACAACTAGAAAGAAAAGGACTGTTTTCAACTGTTCAGGGCAAAATATGAGCATTTTGCAGTTGATTATGAATTTTTTTTTTGCAAATCAGGAAAAAATGAAGCGGGCGAATCCATTAACCAAGAAATTAAATTGGTGTGGCCTAAGAAATGAAGTTCAAGGTGATTTGTCAAGTTTCATCAAATCTATGTTCACTTAAAATATTGCATGCAACATGTCAAAGCCGTTATAAACCTCTTTCTAATAGAGTCCAAACCTTATAGATAGGTTGTACATGTGATATTTTCAGTATCAAGAGCATGAGTACATGTAATTATATGACAGACTGGAATGATGATTGCTTCTAGGAAACTTACTGGAGAAGATGTAACTCAAACTGAACCCTTTCTCATTGGTGCTCACATCACTGGTGAAATGCAGCTGAACCTCATTGGTGATGCTCACATACTGCGTTACTGGCTCAAGTCCTGTGTACCTGTATTCAATAAAGAAATTGTTTTAGCATAATTAGCAATTAAGTAATATTTATGATCATAAAATTTGTTGTGTTATAAGATTATACGATGTGAGGATATATTTTTATTTGTGTTATATCAAAATTTTAAAAAGATACATTTTGTACATGTATGTTACAGGACCTAGCCTGTAATCCATGATCTGTGACAGTATGATGACATTTTTTGAGAGAGCTTAACAGTTTGATTCTGTTACTGTAACAGTACATGTATGTGCCTGGTCACATAACTTGTGTGCAATTAAGACTTGGAAAGTAGTCGTGCTTGTGTCCTGCAAAATTCAGCTGTCTTGATATGGAAAGCCAAGGTATTTGATCATTGTTGTTGGTTGTTTCTGTCATGGTCTGTTTGAAAATTCTACATCAAAACTGTACAATGACCAAAAATGTACATGATCATGTTCAACAAATGTGACTGCAACGTAATACTATATAAGGCCATGTTGATTTGATTATATGGATGACATCCGCGCGCGCATGGATTTTCGGCCGTTTCCAAAAAAAAAAAGTTTTCAACCATACTGTAAATCGTACAAAACAGTTGCAAAATGAGCAAAAATATACAGTAAGTTACAAAAAAATAAACAAGAACTATACCAATGTCGTAGAATGCCAAAATCAAACGAAAAAAGACGAAATTGTAAAGAAATGAATATGAAGAGTAGATTATTCGCCAAACCATATTCTGTGCCATTTGTTCAACCTTCATGACCGCGTACATTTCATAATGAAAACAACTTTTTTTTTGCAAAACTTTTTTTTTATTCGCACGCGCGCATCAATTTTTGGGCTCCCAGAGGATGTCATCCATATAATCAAATCAACATGGCCTAATGTTAAAACAACACTCACTCCTCTCTGCGTCCTCTACCAGCCTCACTCAGAACCAATAAGTCATATCCTTGTTCCAAATCAAAATGCTGGAAGGTGATGTTAATTGCATAGCCAGGAGGTGCTGTAATGATGTAAGAACAGTCTGCATTGTCCGGATAGTTCCCAGGGTACCCTGGACTTTGGATTGTTCCCGGGGCAGTGTCGTACCTCCCTCCACAGGTCCCTACAGAAGAGATGTGAATTATTCTATGCAGTGTCTTAAATCAGATAAATGTATAATTATAGGGCTACCTATTTTTGTCTAGTTTTTTCCAAAAACTGATCTTAAAAATGCACACTCAGACAGAGCCAAATGGGAAGGAAGATCAGCTCTTCCACATACATGTACAAAGGACAGTGCACGGTCTGTCACTGCTAGTTTAAACCTGTGTGAACAAAAAATTGTAGTTAGTTTACTAAGGTGTGTGGTAAAGAATTATGCCAGGATGACCTAGGCTACATATGGCTGTCCACTTTCTTCTTGAAATATTGCATGCAACATGTCAAAGCAGTCATAAACCTCTTTCTAAAAGAGTCCAAACCTTATAGATAGGTTGTACATGTACATATGGTATTTTTAGTATCAAGAGCATAATTACATGTAATTATATGACAGACTGGAATGATGGTTGTTTCTAGGAAACTTACTGGAGAAGATGTAACTCAAACTGAACCCTTTCTCATTTGTGTTCTCATCACTGGTGAAATGCAGCTGAACCTCATTGGTGATGCTCACGTACTGCTTTTCTGACTCAAATCCTGTGTACCTGTATTTGATAAAGAAATAATTGGGTTACCACCATTAGCGATTAAGTATTTATGATCATGAAATTTATTGTGTTATAAGATTATATGAAGTGAGGATGTATCTTTATCTGTGTTATATCAAAATTTTAAAAAGATACATGATTGTATGTTACAGGACCTACCGTAGCCTGTAATCCACGATCTGTGACAGTATGATGACATTTGAGAGTCAGAGCTTATCAGTTTGAATCTGTTACAGTACAATGTACATGTATGTGCCTGGTCACATAAATTGTGTGCAATCAAAGACTTAGGGCATTCTTGGAAAGAAGTCGTGCTTGTGTCCTGCAAAATTCAGCTGTCTTGATATGGAAATCCAAGGTATTTGATCATTGTTGTTGGTTGTTTCTGTCACAGCCTGCTTGAAAATTCTACATCAAAACTGTACAATGACCAAAAATGTACATGATCATGTTCGACAAATGTGAATGCAGTGTACATGTATGTTAGAACAGCACTCACTCCTCTCTGTGTCCTCCTTCCTCACTCAGAACCAGTAAGTCATATCCTTGTTCCAAATCAAAATGCTGGAAGGTGATGTTAATTGCATGACCAGGAGGTGCTGTAATGATGTATGAACAGTCTGCATTGTCCGGATAGTTCCCAGGGTACCCTGGACTTTGGATTGTTCCCGGGGCAGTGTCGTACCTCCCTCCACAGGTTCCTACAGAAGAGATGTGAATTATTCCATGCAGTGAATGTCTTAAATCAGATGATACATGTAATGTATCTAGTGCTGCCTATTGTTGTCCAGTTTATTCAAAATGTCACTAATCTTTCAGTAAACATGCACAGACAGAGCCAAATAGGAAGGAAGATCAGCTCTTCCACAGAGGACAATGCACGTTCTGGCATCTTTTCCGTGTGAAAGTTATGTACACAAAAAACGTCACATTTTGGCATCCATACTGAGTACTGTCATGTTTTGTGAGTCAGGTATGCCAGGGGATACGCCACGTATGGTAAAACGAACATTACATCCATACATCACGTTCGGCTACGTTAATTCATTATGGCTCTGCAATTTTCATGCCAAAGTAAAAAAAATGAAAAAACCTATGTTTTCGGATTCTGTACGTCACAGTGCATCCAAAGTCTTGAATGTCCAATTGGGCAAGTAGATTGTTAAAAACTTGTCCAACACTTTTTCCCACAAATGTCTAATAGTATGTCAAGGTACAAAATGGAGTGCGGCATGGGTAACTACCATCAGGGTTGCACTCAGCAGTACTCCAATCTGCTGTCGGGTAACGCTCTCCACAGCGGAGATCGTCGTGCCATTTCTGAGTAACTATTAGAGCAAGACTTTGTGGTGTTTTGGCAAGGTTTATGTTTGTGGAAGGTTTCCTCCAGTTACTGATTTGAGAAGTAAAATTTGCCAAAGTAATGTTAGGCCACAGTAAGTACTTTGGGCTGATTTTGAAAAAAAAAAGCAAGAAATTTTGTTGCCCTTTGGTAGTGGCCAACATGCTGAAAATGACCCAGAAGGTGGATGTCAGCTACAAGACAAGGCTCTGATTTATTGCTTTGTCTTTTACTTTGATATGATGTATTTCATTCCTTTTATGTGATGTACCCACTGAATCAAAACCATTTGTGAGAGTGATTGAAAACATTATTTTTCAGTGTCAAATGGTACAAACATCATCCAGATTAATTCTGGACTTCCAGTTTAATTCTGGACTACTTCCCATATCTTAGACCTAAATCTACATTTTGTACCTTGGATTAGTTGGGGGGTGCTTTGATCAGTTGTCGTGGGCTGGTCTTGAAGGCCGATATCAAGTGTCTGCTCCTCCCACTGACGTTCAGCCTGAAGGTCTGTGATTATTGATTGATAATCTGGTTAAGGAGCTTTCAAATAGATTTCTGAGGTCACCATATTACGTACGTGTATCTTGCAAACATCAAAACAAGACTCACTTAACACAATTTTGTTACACAAAACTTAGAAGATGAATTTCACTGAAAAGAAAAAGAAATTCAAAACATTTTTCCTAGCACATGCAGGTACATGTGTATTGTGTTATGTACATGTATTATATGTGTATTGTCATCATTTTTGTCATAGCATGGAGGTAGAAGAGATGTTTTTCTACCTCCATGGTCATAGTAAGTGCTGCCAAAATGTTGCATAGTACATAAGTCATGATAATATATGCATTGGGGAGTGTTTGATAAATTATTAGAATTAATTCTATGTAACGTTATTAATTTAATAACGTTACATAGAATGAATTTTAATAATTTATCAGAATCCGTTTGTATGAAATGTACCATAAACAGATCCATTGACCTGATACTTTAAAAGTATCAGGTCAAGGGATCTGTTTATTGTACATTTCATACACTGTGTACATATATGTAATACTACATGACCTGGATCCTCACCTATGGCCTGGGTATCATGCAGAAGTTCAACAAGGTGCCATGCAAGTTCTCGAATGATGTCAGTCTTGTTTAGCAAGTCTTCTTCCTGTTGTTGCAGTTGCTGTGAGAGTTGTTCGTTGGTGTGGAGATAGGCCTGGGCTCTCTCCAGTTCAATCAGCATGTCCTCCAGCTCACGTTCCTTCTGCTCCAGCTGTTGTACCACTGGCTGCAGCTCTAGTAGTTGTTGGTTTTGTTGATTGATGAGCTCAGCCTTGTGATGCAGTTCCTCCAAAAGACCTTCATGAGTGGCAGCCATCTCACGCAGTTCCTCCAAAACGATGTTGGCGTGTCTCAGCCAGCTCATGCAGCTGGGTCTGCAGTGACGCTTGCAATGCTTCCATTTCTTGTACCTGACTGCTACATTGGTCTATGATGCTACTTTTCTCTTGGATCTCTTCTTCCTTCAGTTCCAGTTGCTGCAGCAGCTGTTGGTTGACTTCAGTCAGGTTTCGCAGCTCTTGCTCTTTGTATTGCCCTTCTTGGGACAACTGCTGAATGGTGTTGTCCTTTTCCTGAAGCGCTTGTTCCAACTGTGTGACTGTGTCCTCAAGGTTCACCATTTCTGTAAATGTGCACCAGTACAGAATCCAGATGAGACTCAGGAGCATTCAGAAATTAGACATGTAAAGCCCTGCTGTATTCCTGGGAAAATTGCTATTAAAGCTATTTACTAAGATACAGTAACAGTTTACTTGAAGTCTCATCTGCAATTTACATACATAAGGAAGTGAGTTGCATACCATATCATCTGAGCTATATCACTGACTTGTGGTATATGTCACAATGGTTAATTAACAATCCATGCATCGCCAACATGAATATTATAATAATTCAAAGCAAAATGAATGATAATACTTTCAACATTAGAATTTCCCAGGACTTCAACTGCTGCCATGAAATCCACTAATCTGTTACTAGTGTTAGGTACTTTTCTCCTACCTTCTTTCTCACACACAAAGTGTGCTTTGACGTCACATCTCATATCATTCCACTTGTATCCCATGCGCCGGGCAATATGCACACAGTCCTCTCCATGAGGTTCAAGGACATTGTTAGGTTCTCCAGGCTTCCATTCATTGTAAGCTATAAAGTCAGACACATCAAACATTACATACTACAGTATATAGTATTTATGATATAATCATCAATAATTATCATTATTAATATAATTATATGGTTCATTTTATTCAAGAGTTGCTGTTAATCTGTACCCTGTTCACATGTAAGATTTGAAAAGCTTCAAACAAAACTGTATGACATTTTATACAAGCTAAGGCTGATGGATCATATTGAAATGAGGATGCAGTTAGTACTGTAATACAGTCATATTAATATTAGTAAGACAGTTAGAATGATAACATGGTCTCTGGTCTCTTTAACTCAGGCCAGCTTATAATATATACTTAGTGCGAGAATGAAATGAAAGTACATGACTGTACATTGTGTGCTGCCATCACTCCACACAAATCTTCCCTCATTTTCCATGTCATTCAGACCAATCCAGTGGCGCTCTCCACCTCCAACAAAACTGTGGATGATGCATCATTATGTTGAACTACAGTCATTATGTATTTCCATGCTGCATGGGGCTACATTATAATCATTGAATGAAAATCTGATGATTATATAATTGTGCTCTAGTCAGCAATGATAAAGACTGAAGAAAAACATGTATCATTAGTTACTAGCCTGGATTCAAATGCATGAAACAAAACCACTGATTAGTAATTACTGTGTTACACAGTACTGAACTCACTCCACTCAAGTAGTCTATGACTATATACATCACACTACACATAATGCAAAACAGTCATCAGATTTTGTCTCCAACACAGGTGGGTCTAACCTGATTTTGCCCAGGATATAACCATTGGTGAATTTGCCAGGGATGGTTGCCAGATGTCCTTCTTCCTTTTCACAAATGTTCTGAGCCTCTCTGAAGTTTTTATGTTCTGTAGACAGCTTGTAGCACTTTTTGTTGAATTTCATATAGTTATTGGGACAATTATGTATGGTCATTCCCCAGCTTCTAGTCTGTATGGTCTCTGCAAAAAAGGAACTTGGTTAATTGGACATATCATACAGTGTACCATACCAAGATCAAGGGCTCTATAATTTTAGTTTTCCCTGTCCTTTCTCTCACCACACACTAGTACTGTAGGTAGTTTAAGGGTACATGTATTCCCCCCGGAAGTTTAGAAACTTCAACTTTTGAAAAGCTCCCTTGCTTAAATGCAAAGCTATACTATATGTAGAAGGTGGCACCTTCAATAATTCTTTACTAATTTGACACATGGAACTGTACAGCTTTGGGTTTAGGGAAAAATTAAACTGGCAAATGATTTTTGCAAAAGTAATTTGGTTACTGTTTTGATGACATGATGAAAATGTCTTGAAGTTTAGTCTGTCAAGGGGTCAAAATGACCTAAATTTTTGTCTGTCCAAGAACACTTACTGAAACTGTTACAGAATGATGGTTCAGTGGACACAGTCATGTGCGTATTTTACGTTTAATTTATGTACTAGACAGGTACATAATCCATAATATCTTTTTGAAAGTGTGGAAATATGCTGCAATTGATGCTTCTGATTGAATGTGTCATCTTTCAAGTTCGATTGTTCTAGAATGTCATGTACCTAGTAATACATGTACATGACAATCATGTAGCTAATACAGTGTAATGCATTTTAGCACATGTACATTATGTATTTTATGTCATCGTCGTCTCAATTTTCCTAGCAACTGTTTTCTGGAAGATGGTGAAGGTTAAATAAATGAATTTCTGAATTGAGAAGATATTCAATGTAAAATCATTTAGAGAAGATATTGCCAATTATAGTACCCCACCTCTTTCACATACAAAGCGTAACTTTTCTGCACAGTTGCGATCGTTCCACCCAGAGGGACTGATCTCCACACAGTCCTCACCAGGACCACGGTAGTTATCAGGCTGGTGTGGGAACCAGTCTGTGTAGCCTGAAACAGTTTGAAAAGGCAGAGAAATTCAACAACACTGAGACCATATAATATCATTTTTTTTTCACAATGCCATCTTTCTTACTTGTTAACTCCACCAAAGGGATTAAAAAATAACAGCATCTTGCTTGTTTGGTAACAGGAATAGATTAAAAGCTGCTGGCGAATTTTTATAGTTCACTGTTGATGAAAAAATTTTGTTAAAGTTTGGTGCAGCTCTCCATATGAATCTAGAAGTTGTCTTGCTTAGAAACAGTTTAAACATTTTGAGTAGTCCTCTGATGATTATCTTTTATGGATCAGAATATACAATGTGTACGTGCTAGTTTGAAATATGGGTGGGTGCAATTTTTTTTATTCTTATCAATGTTGAAAGATTTCATCACTGTCTTACTTATAAATCATGATTAACATGTCTATTGAATAGTATCCAATAAAGGATCAGATTTGGGTGTCTTAATCTGCCAGATCACTATAATATCTACCCTGACTTATGATCCTCGACATCCATGGCAGTCGTTCTTACCTGTGGAAGCTTCCATTCCATCACTCCAAACATAGTTTCCTTCTTCCTGCCTGTCATTGAGGCCAATCCAGACGGAGTCCAATGCTAACTCGTCCCTAAATAGGCAAGCCAAATGAAACGTACAAAACACCTGAGTGTATTTCTTAATTCTGTACATGCTGGTCAATAGTTGATATTCATAACATCATTGTTAGATCATCTCATCTGAAGCTATTGAGATTGACAATGTACAATTTTGATTGATTATCTTAAAATATGAAAAAAATGTGATATTGACAATATTTCCCTTCATACATGTATGACAGATACTTGCAACAAGTCAGACATTATTGCAACTACTTGCATTGCAACCAGAAACAGAGGGGTACCTGATTTTCTGCAGAATAAAGTCGTTGGTTTCCGATTCTTCGATGGTTGCCAGTCGTCCTCCGTCATATCCACAGATTTCTTGTGCTGAGTTGAAGGTTTCCCTGACTGTGGAGAACCTGTAGCACTTGCCGTTGAATGTCTCTGTGTAGTTGTCTGGGCAACGTCGTGCTGGTGTGAAAGGAAGAAACATTACACCGGAATAACGAAGCTACTTTAGCCTTACATTCTGGACAAACTGTTCCAATCCAGTCATCTAAAGTGATGGTGTTTATAGCAACGTCAGGGGCAGTAAAGTTCGTGTCATAGTCAATCATTGCCTTCAGACTTCTCCATAGTTTTTACCATGGTTGAAAGGCCATCTATGATTGGGTATTGGTCAGCAAAGGTGCCAAGTACTAGCTTAAAGGTTACCGTAGTAAAGTAGCCTTTAAACATCATTAATTTTACACCAGCCAAGTAATATACTAATGAACTTTGAAAAATCAAAAGTCCAGGAAAGTCATCTTCTGCTTGGATACAATTGGAGGAGCAAACTGGAGCTAGAATACTATATAGATAGGATAAATTCCAGGCTTCTCTCGACCCAGGCATGGTTGGGGAGTGGTCAGGAACAAAGTTTCTAGGAAGATCATATCTGATGATTCAATGCTTTTTCTTTCTAGGGAGTGATCACAATAGAAAATCTAGTAGGAATGTAACACCACTACTTAAAAAAAGTCCTAGCTAGGCTTAAGCCTAGCCAAAAATACCAGTGGTAATGTCCCCCATGGTATTGCATAAAATGTGCTTTAATTCCATGTAATGTGCAATAAGTATTGGTAACAAACTTTCGTGGTCTGAGGAAAATGGACATGTTCATGGAACTATAACTTCGCAGCGGTGGCAGGCACAGAAGAAAGAAAGTCAGTGAATTATTTGTTCACAGTAATGATAAATTCACGATATAGAAGTAACCATGAAAACACGTAACTGATTTACAGTACTTCTATTTTAAAGAAAGACGGCCTTTACCTGGTGGCAGGTCAAGAGAAGCTGGGTCCTGGGGCATGTCACTGTTGATGCGTTCCTGCAGGGTGGTGATGATGTTCTCCTGCTCCTGGATCCTGTCCTGCTGCTGCTGCAGTACCTCATACAGCTGCTCGGGGTCCATCTCAGATGTAATCTCTACAGAAGAAGTCTTCAATCAAGACCATGTACATGTAGAGATGCAGCCTTTTCTACCTTGTATCTGATTCAGTTCCATCTATCTCTACTTGCTAGTAGGAACATGTACAAGAAAGCTGAATTTCAGGCAACAAGTGGTATTTCAACATAATGTTATTTTATATTATATTGACTATTACATGGGGATAAGATAAAGAAAAGACTTAAAGATTGATTGATGATGAAAGTAAAATTAGGAGAGAGATTATTAAGAGTAAGAGAGAGAGAGAGAGAGAAGATGCACATGGAGGTTAAGACAACAAAGTATGAATAAGAGAAAAAAGAAGAGTATTGCACACAATGATATTAATCTAGTTTGTGCACCTCACTATTGTCTCTCCACAGCAATTGTTGTATTTACGAAAACTATTGAGCTGCCTTCC